AGATTCTTTCACTTAAGAGCTTCTATGTCTGAATTCTAGAGGAACGCAGGCTAGAGCTTTGCCCTCTGCTTTTATAAGGGCCTCACTATTGTGTTCTTCCTTACAACTGAACAAGGGATCAACCTCAAGTTTGTCAGAGAGCTCAATAGAATTGAAGCAAACGGTTGGATGAGAAGCTGACTTTTCATATACAATTTTTTTTTCTTTCCTACCATTTATTTCCTCTTCTGTCAAGTGGGCTTGTCAACTTGGTTATGAGTTGTTTATTAATAATTAATACTGGCCCCATGATTGGTCAGCTGAATGGGGCTGAGACAGAGCTGAGCATCATTTCTAGCATGGATGCAGAGTTTGCAAACTGTGCTCTGGAGCTCTGAGGGGTGAATGGATCTTGCATGTTAGGAAACCCAGCACCAGCAAGTGTGATGCATAAAGGGACCTTGAGAAATAAGTAAAAACAGCAGCCCTGAACAATCTGAACAATCAGAATTTGGTATAGAAATGATACACTTTATACCAATTTAATTTTATGCAAAATTTAAAAAAAATCACACAAGTATGTTTAAAAGACAGAGATAGGGTTGATGAAAAAAACAAACATATGTGAGATGTGTGAGGGGCTAAGAGGGCTTCAGATGTATTCCAGGAGAGTTCTATTGAAGTGCTAACCAGCTGATTGCCCCTTTGTGTCTGCCATGATTTTCTTATTAGAAGTGAGAATGGTTACATTGGCCTAACTTTGGTCTCATCATTCCTTAAACACAAATGTTAGAAAAATTCATAATCAAAGGTAATGTTGTATTTAAATAACTGTGATTCTTAACTAGAACATAAACTTTTAAGTAAGACTATCAGAGACATAAAAGAAGTAATTTTTGACACAATAAATAAAAATATTAGTCTAGTAGTGTTTTACAGGGTTTGTCAGGTTTCCTTCTTGTTTGCACTTAAATTTTCCCTTTGATCTAGAATTAGAATGTGTTTTAGGAAAGAAATGTACTATTGTATGAAAAATTTATTTTTAAAATAGATTTAAATCAGGTCTGAGCTTAGATGAATTTGTTGAAGCTAAGCTACTTTGAACTCTAATTTCTGAGTAGTACTTTGGCTGCATAAAGCAGAGAGTTAGCTGAGCCTGATGCAATGGACCAAAATGGTTATTAGATTATCTTAAATCAGAATGATGTGATAATTCATGTTGAAATTAGAGGAATTTGAAGTGAATTCTTCTTTTTCCTTTTATGCTATAATGGCTTCAGTTTAAATTATGTTATTCAAAGGGTACTGGAGCTTTCATAAATTATTCATTCGCAAAGATTTAGCTATTTCAAGCCACATCCCCTGAAACAGAATGGGTTGAGCGAAATGGTTTCATTTTGCTGAAGCATTCATAAATATGTCTTTGCCTTACTTCCTTGACTGCTTTGGGTGTGTCTTTGTTTAAGTGACACTTAATTTCTCACTACCAGGTTATCACATTTGATAGTTCCCATTTCTAGAACAACTTGGAAGAGTTTTTATCTCTCATTTTGATTATCGACTAAATTCAAAATTGTGATAAAAATTAAGATTGTACTTCTGGGAATTTCAGCAACTCTTGGATCTTCTTATGCAAGAGAGGCTTTCTTTAACATTTGTGATCTGTTTTCTTTTTATGGGTTGCCCTTCCATTTATATAAACATCCATATTAATATGGTTATCCTATGAAATATTCTTGTTTATGTATTTTTATTTTTAGGATGACTAAATATAAATTTGGAATATTTCTAAGTTTGCTGTTTTCTTGGTAGATTTTCATTACATAGACCAACTCAGTTCATTGTTGGACAGGGATGATCATCTGATAATCAATCCTCTATAACTATGACTTGAAAAAAAACCTTAATGGGTTGATAGTCAATTCGTAGGCACAGCTACAATTTGTAAGTAATTCTAAAAGTTTATATCCTGCAATCTCTTTGAAAGATTAACTCACAGATTGAAAGATTGCCACACTTCCTGGAATAAGCATTTAGTGTAGCTGGTGTTATTTAGTACAATATTTTAAAGCTTTGTTGAATTTCAAGTTCTGAGTTTCTTATCCTTTTCCTTTCCCTTCCATGCTTCATGTATCTTGATTATAAGTAACACTGCCCTTGGTTAATCTTGTGGCAAATGAGAATTGGAGGCAGGTGATGGTGGAGAAACAGCCTGTGTGACTTTTCCATAAGTGAAGCAGACCAACAGTGAAAAAGTAGCGGGATCATAAAAGTGCTGGCACCTGAAGTTTAGAGAGGCTAGTTAGGAGGAGGGCTGGGTGGTGAGGAGAAGCAGCACATGTGGAAGACCAACTGTGCACACATTTGGTAATGAAATTAAGGGGACCAAAAGGCAGTGGCTATAGCAAGTATTAGAATGATGAGAGTTTATTTCATGTTTGGGCAATCTGGAATATGTTTACCTAGAGGAAGAAGTGTGCAAGACTGGAGAGACTGATAATACAAAAAGGAAAGAATTAATATGACAAATTCTCGGAGGAGGTAGAATTGAGAAAATCAATAATGTATGTGAATCTGGGATGATGAAGTTGAGGGTCACATGTTCAAAGCCAGCCTGGGCAACTTAGCAAGGCCCTGTGTCAAAAATGAAAAGGGCTGGGGGATGTCACACACACACACACACACACACACACACACACACACACACACTTATACAAGAGGGTTAACTAATCAAGAAAGCAGAACACATTTTAAGAATCCAATGAGGCAAGAATTTGAAGATGGAAATTATGATGATTAATTTTATGCTATTTAATTCTGATGATTAATTTTAGGCTTTGATATTTAGTTTGATCAAATATCAATCTAGATTTATTGTGAAGGTATTTTCAAAGATGTGCTTAACATCTAAATCTGTAGGTTCTGGTGAAGTGGATTACTTTACATTGGGAGGGCCTAACCTAGTCATCTGAAGATCTTTAGTGCAAATACTGAGGTCCCCCAAGAGAGAAGAAATTCTGCCTCTAGAAAAGTCTTTGGATTTGAGACTGTAACATCAGCTCTTCCCTGGGTCTCTGGCTTTCTGGTTGCCATATAGATTTTGGACTTGCCATTTTAACAATCATGTAAGCCAATCCCTTTCTCTCTCTCTCTCTCTCTCTCTCTTTCTCTCCTTCTCTCTCTCTCTCTCTCTCTCTCTCTCGTCTCTCTGTCTCTCTGTCTCTCTCTCTCTCCTTTTTGGTTTTATTTCTGCAGAGAGCTCTAATACAGAGAGTTAGGATGGAGGGAAGGATTTTGAAGTTGCCTCAGTGAGTGATGTCAGTCTCTTTTGGTAAACTATGAGAATATGATGTGTGATGAAAGTGAAGAGAGGACTTAAATATAGAAACAGAAATGTTTCCATAGTCTGTAAGTGGGTGCCTGAGACTGTGAGTTCTTCTAGAATAAAGAGCCTATATATTCATTCTGCATCCTAAAACTATAGCATAAGAGTTGGCTTATGAAAGTGCTTAACAAATACTTACTGTTTGTCAAATAAGCTGAGGAAAGGGACTGTGAGGCCCAGCTAAGATTAGATACTGAGGTTCATGGTGAATCAATTGCCACAGTGCCATAACTTTCTGCATAAATGCTTGTTCTCTGGAGGTTGGATCATGAGAATCAGCTTAAGAAATGCAGAGTGTCAAGGGATTGAAGCAGCCAGCGTGGCAATGCATGAATTTTGAACTATGAAAATGACGCGCTGTAAAGCTCAGGCTAGGTAGAAAGGGGAAAGGAACCAGATGGGGATAATTGGTTTGAGGAAACTGGAAGGAGCCAAGGAATAAAATGACCTGCCGGAGGCAGTGAGCATGCTTAATGGGAGAAGTGGAGAGTTGGGAAGAAAAGAGGCATTCATCTACGAGTTTCATATTTCTTAGGATTTTGCTATCAGAGTATTTTTAAGTGGGCAAAGTAGGGGGAGGTGAATATTAGAATAAAAAATTTATTTTGCTAGCTATACATGTCTCAATTCCTTAATATTTAAAGAATAATTAACAAAAGAAAATGTAGTCCATAACTGTCTAGCATTTCTTACTTTAATTATGAAAACATGTTGAGAGTTGCACAAAGCACCTGTGAGATACTTTGCTAGGTGGTGGGAAATCCTCCAAGCAGAAACTGAATACAAGAGGCACCCAACCTGGAATCAAAAGATCCTGGTAGAGGCCCAGGTATGTTCCATTTGAGAGGTAAGTGAACTTGTAGCACTCATAAACATGTTAGTTTACAAAAAGCTATAGAGTAATGCCTTTTAGGATTATTGTAAAGATTAAGAGAAATGTATAAAGATTCTTCTTAATTGCGAGGTTTAAAAATTAGTGTTATTTTACAAATATTAACTAAACATGCTATTATCCTTTGAGGAACATTCTGTAATGAGATATTTTAAGGGGTTATTTTTAGTTATAAAGTAGCCTGATTAAGTGATAACATCTTAATTTTATTTCATTTTAAAATTACCAGTATTTCATATAACATTATTATTTAACCCAATATAATACAAAAAGGAGACTTAAAATATACTGTAATTCACCTTAAATGTTGGAGTTTTTCTTTCTTTCTTTCTTATTTTTTTTGAGACAAGTCTCACTGTGTAGCTCAGATTGGCCTTAAACTCATTGTGTGCCCAGGCTGGCCTCAAACCTGTGGGGCAACCCTCCTCTCTCAGCTTCCCGAGTGTGGGATTATAGGTATGTAACCACCATGTCTGGCAAGGGGTTTCCCTGTTTTAAAACTGGTAAATCTTATCATTCTTACTGTTCTCATCTTTAAGAAGAATATGCAGCAGATTGGCATATGTATTTAACTTGATTTCAATAAATCAAAGCCTAAGACAGTAGCTATAAATTATATGTACTCTGAAAATAACTATAATTAAGTAAAAGGATTCATTTTATGTTAGAGTTTATTCAAGTGTAAAGAAAAAATAGGTATCCAGTTAACTTATGTAATTGTTTTCTCAATAAACATTAATTTATTGTTTAAAATTAATCCTATAAATTCTGAGAACTAGGCTTTTAATAGAATTCCTATGCAGGTGTCAAGATACACTCTGAATTTACAAATCTTAACTTGTGTATTAAGATCCTCTGTAATCAACACAACATTTGATATGTAACATTTACACAGTTAACATGAAGCATGAATTTAATATGCACCCTGAAAGGGTTGCTGGCCCAGAATGGACATTGTAGCTAAAAAAGCCTCAGCCGGATTTAGGGAGTTCCTGCCTCCCCCGGCCCTAGAGATTTACCTGTAACCCTATACCCCCACCCTTAGAAACCTACCTCTGGTGCCAAACTAAGACCAATGGGCTACCTGTACATCCCTAATACCCCCTAGGTTCCACCCCAGGCCGAGGCTACTTATGTGCCTCACTCCATGTGTTCCAGGGAGAGATCACCGGCCCCGGGGTGGAGATTCCATGCCCCAGGGGGTCAGGGATGTCTCTCTCCGCATTCCCAAAATAAGGGTTACTTATATTTTATACTTCTTATCTTTTCAGCCACCACTGCCGGCCAGTCCTTCCCCCTCTTCCCCTTGACAGACCTATCAGATGTGTTCCATGCCAGCCCGCCCCCTCCACGGCGCCGGGCACAAGCTGCTGTTCCTCCGTGGCGCTGGACGTGCACCGGGCGTGCACCGCTGCTGCCAAACCCCACCCCCTTGCACGGTAGCAGCTGAAATACGTTATTTCCCTGCGCCGTCTTAGCGCGTCATAGTAGCGTCTAGGTGGGATCTCTGCCCACCCCTGTGCACTATGTCCCAGCGTTCGCCCCTCCCACTCTGCATGTTCCATGTCAGCCCGCCCCTGCCTGCTGTGTGGTGGTGCTCATCTCGCCCCAAGCACAACTCTGCTCTCTTCCTACAGGTGCTATCTATCTCAGTGTTTCAAGCTGCCTTAAACACTGTGCGTTTCCAAAGTCTCGCGGCCCCGCTCAAACATTTTTTTTACAATTTAGTTCCACTCAAGAGAGGCTATTTTTTTCTTATAATTTTCCTACCATTTATTCAATATTACTGGCCACCTGATAATTTTACCAGCCTGCCTGCCTTATAATCTTAAATGCCAATATTAAGCTCCTATATACTTATTTAATTCTACAGATAACTTTTACTATAGTCCAGATATCAAACAACAAGGCAAAACTTGACCTTCAAGCTCCACAGAGACCTTGATATGGTTGTTCATATTTTAAATAACACTTACAGTTCTGAGACAGACAAATCTACACAAGGTGAAGCTACCTGCCCCCCGCCATGGGCCACACTCAAATTCATCATAAGACATCAGACAAAATCCCCCATCCTGGCATTCTTCAAGATCTTACTCCAGGGCTGTTGGGCTATCCTGGCCACCAGAGAGTGGCCGGGCCATCCTAACTTGTAGCCCTCACAGGTCACTGCCAAAAACCTCACTCCAGAACCGTTGGGCTATCCTGGCCACCAGAGAGTGGCTAGGCCGCCCTAACTTGTAGCCCTCACAGGTCACAGGGGCCAACCGCCTTAGTGGATATCTGTCTCAGAATCCAAGTCACATTAAAACTCTCAAGGTAAGACATTCTCTATATTCGTGGACATACGAGGCCACATATACAGAGTTCTTACTGAGTTTTTAGGCTAATAAATCCACAATGTCTCATGGAGTATTAAAGGTCAACCTATGCCAGTTACAAACAGGGCCTATTTTTGTACAGGTCCCAGTCCTAAATCTTAAAATGCTTTTATTCCCTTTTAAAATGCCATCCTGGTTTCACATCACTCAGGCCCTAGATCTCACCATCTTTTTGGTACTCATCTCTGCCTTACGACTCACAGGTTGTCATGTTTTGTTATCCACTTTGGTTCTTAATTTCTTACATTCTATTAATAATCATTTCTATAGCAGGACTCTCTAACAGGATTGCCTACAGACTCCAACGTCATATATACCAGAGACAAGCGTTACCTACCTACCTTTTAACTTTTATGCTTTCATATGGGGGAGTAAGCACCTCTCATAACTTCACTCCTCCTAATCCCACGTTTAATTTTTCAGAATTCTGCCTTGCCATAAAAATGTTCCCACCTCAACGTCATCCTGATAGAATAACAGGTCTAAATCAAAGACACCTTTCCCTCTACCTCACTTGGGTCCATAACTATGACAGTGCCATGTCTCCTCATAACATCTTGTCTCTTTGTTTTTTTCAGTCTAACATACACGCATTCACCAGTGAAGTTGTCCTGGCTAAAACTCCTGGCACCAGCTTCTACCTAGACATCAACCGTCATCCCGTCAATTTCCCTGGACCCCAGTACGGTGCCCTCAGCCAGCAGGAAGTAGTTAAAGAGAGAAATCTTCACCCCTTTTCCTAATAATCATAAGATGGGATATGAATGGGTTGCTGGCCCAGAATGGACATTGTAGCCAAAAAAGCCTCAGCCAGAATTAGGGAGCTCCTGCCTGCCCCGCCCCTAGAGATTTACCTGTAACCCTATACCCCCACCCTTAGAAACCTACCTCTGGTGCCAAACTAAGACCAATGGGCTACCTGTACATCCCTAATGCCCCCCTTAGGTTTCACCCCAGGCTGAGGTTACTTATGTGCCTCACTCCATGTGTTCCAGGGAGAGATCGCTGGCCCAGGGGTGGAGATGCCACGCCCCGGGGGGTCGGGGGTGTCTCTCCCCGCATTCCCAAAATAAAGGTTACTTATATTTTATACTTCTTATCTTTTCAGCCACCACCACTGGCCAGTCCTTCCCCCTCTTCCCCTTGACAGACCTATCACACCCAAGATGCTGTTTAATAAATCATACAGGACACATCACAGGATGTACAGTAAGTATGTTTTTTACTCTGAGCTCTGATGCAAGGAAGCTTTTCCTTCCCCATGCCCTTAGATAGTCCCCTCTGCTCTGGCCTGATTATCACCAAGAGTCAAATTCACATCTTGGCAGGAGGCAGGAGGAAGAAGCTGTATACACAATCTAAGTAAAGAAAAAAAGACTTCGGGAATCTCACGGCAATTTCTGAAGTATGAGTTAGGAGATAAGCTGAGCAGTTGCACCAAACTCCCCAGAAGGGAAGTTTAAATGAAATAGAATTTTTTCTCTCACATAACTGAAATCAAGGTAGGTGGGTAGTCCAGGGTAGGTAGTGAGACCAGCCAAGGTTCCTGGGTGGTGGAACAGCACAGCGACCGTCAATGTGTGATTTCTTTTTTAAAGGTGATGGGGCGTCCTTTAGGTGTCCTATTTCCTAGCCATCAGGAGAAGTGAAAAAGGAATTCAAAGCCTTTCTTTTTATGAATGGGACTCAGAAGTTGTTTATGTTGCTTCCTTTTGTGTGGTTTGCCCAGAACTCACATGCTTTTCTTTAATTTCAAGAAAGGTTAGGTATTGTAGTTTCTGTCTATGAAGATTTATGCCCTAAAATTGGTAGTGTCATTCTTTTATCTTCTCTCTCCCACTGCTAGCACATAATCCATAAATGAGCTCAGGTAGTTCAACTTCCAAGTGATTTCCATTGTTTTTCATATTGCAAACAACAGTGCCTCCCAGCCACCATAACCTCTGCCATGATGACCTCCTAGCTGGTTTGTGTGCTTGTGTTCTTGCCCTACCCAAGCCATTTCTCATGTAGTGGCCACTGATTTTTAAAAATATAAATCAAATCATCTCTCCTCTTTTGAAGTCCTTTGCTGTCTTCCCATTGCCATAGATTAAAATCCAAACTCTACGCTGTGAGTCACTAAGGCTTGGTAAAGACCTGACTGACTCTTGCCTTCCTGATACTGTCCTTGTGCCCATAGACTTGTCCATTCAGTGTCCTGGTCATTCTAGCTGCCACTTTTTTCTAGAACGCAGTGGCCTCTTCCCTCCTCAGGCCCTTGCATCCACTATTATTCGTCTGGGAAGCTTTCCACTGGGAGCTCCGCCTGGCACGCTCACTTGCATTCCTTGGCACGCAGCACAAATGTCAGCTATTCTGAGAATGTTTCCTGATGCCCTTTCATAGCAGCCAGGCTTGTTCCTAGTTACTCCCTATCACATCACTTTTATATGAAAATTTCAGTTATTTACTTATTGATTGTTAATTGCTCGCTTTTACTGAATAATGGTCCTCAGGAGGATAGTCTGTTTCTTAGATTCTGGCACCTAAAGGAATGCAATAAATGTCTATTGAATGAATAGCTAGATAAGTTGGGTGCCCTTTGTATAGATGTCTCTCTTTTATTTTTATTCTTTGTGGTGCTGGGTATGAACCCAGGGTCTTCACAGTAAGCTACATTCCTAGCTCTTTTATATATTTTTAAAAATTTTTATTTTATTTTTTTTTCTTGGTAAGTCATGGTAAAAAAAATTTTATTTTAAAGAAGATTAAAACCAAGAAAAATAAAACCAATCAAGATAAGCCAGTATAAGTGATACAGGACTTCAAAACCTTATGAAATCAGCAATAGTTACCAGAATGCCTCTAGTTGTCTTCAAAATAGCTGCAGATATGTTTGGATATAGTAAAAATCGAACAGAACCGAATAGAGCAGGAACAATAAAAACAAAACAATGAATGCAATAAAGAACTTCAAAATAAGCTAATAGTAAATAAAAAATGGCTACCATAATATGTCTTGCTGTCTTTTAAACAGCTGCTCCTGCCATCAGAATTAACATAATTTAACAAAACAAAAGAGAATAAAGCCCAAGCCAAGAAAACAATGAAAATAATATGGTTTCCAGGTGGGATCACCTCCTTGTGAGGCCTAGTTCTCTCCTCCTGCAGTCCTTGCATGGCACCGACTCAAGGAGAGAGGCTTGGGTGTGGCTGTCCCCACCTCCGTTTATTATTTTGAGACTGTGCTCAACTTTGTGCTCTTCCAGCCTCAGCCTCCCAGAGCAAAGGGATTATAGGAATGTGCTGCTCAATTAGGTAGAAATATTTTAGGCAGTCAGACAGGGCTAGTCTCTTGAGGGATTCAGTGCAGAAGATGAGAATACATTGCAGCTATGACTGGAGGTGCATCTGTTGAAGGCCAGGCCTCAAGATAAAGATAGAATGAACAGGCCTCCATGCCTGCCCAAGGGATAATCAATAAATTGAAGATTACCCTCGCCTGCTCCAATAAAGTCTCAATAGCTCTCAGCTACCAGGCTCCCCCAGTGCATCCCTTCCTAATAAGGTCTTTGTTCTTTCCAGTACCTTTGCTTGTACACCTGCTTCCCTAATGGATCAATAGTAAGTAAGCAGCTATATTTGTAATCTTATTGAATCATCATCATTTTGACCTATGTAGCACTCACCTTGTGATTTTTGTATGCATCTTGTATTTTGCTCTATAAAATTTCCTCTGAGAAGTGGGCTCATTTGCAATCCACTTTCAGGTCTCCTGCTATCTCTCAGGAGGTATTTTTCAATAAATGGGTGAGGAGAACCTTACATGGAGTTGTCTGTGTTAGCTTTCTGTTTGACTTAGATGTACTGCCTGTTTTACCTAAGCTGTGGATCTGTTATCCTCTGCTGCTATTGGAAATTTTAATTATTCTCCTCCCCTATAGCCTGAACCCAGCCTCCAACCAGAAGTTATGCTCATGTCCTGTTATCCAGACTGTGAAAGTTAATCTTATGTGGGAATAAGGGGAAGTTTCACAGAAGTAATTAAGTGAAGAATCTTGAGACAGCAGCATCGTGAATTAACTGGGTGGATCATATATCTAATGACAAAAGTCCTTGTAAAGGCAGAGAGATGTGAAACTCACAGAGAACATCATGTGACCATGAAGCCAGAGCATAGCTATGCAGCCAGGTGCCAAGAATTCCCAGGAAGCTGGAATTGGCAAGGAGGATTCTCCCCTAAGGACTCTGAAGTGAGCAGAGACCTCCTGACATCTTTAGTTCAAATCTCTGGCTTCTCAAACTATGAGGGAAATAAATTTCTGTTGTTTTAGGCACGTGAATAATTTTTAGTAAAAGTGTGTCCCAAATACTGCATCTGTATTAAAAAAAAATTTGATGTTTATCTGAAGTTATAATTTGCTAAATCTGACAATCTTACTTTACTCACAAGGATATTTGAAAGTGAGCAATTGATTGGGAACAACGTATAGATCCTGTCATGTAAGGACTGGTACAAAAATTTTTAGAAAGTCAATGTAAAAACAAATAGAATGTAATTGGCATCACAGGAGTTTTAAATACACTATAAAATTCTGAAATTTTGAGAAGTAACTGTGCAAAATATGAAAGATTTTTGCATTTGGAATCATAAAATATTTTTCACAGATTAAATCTTGTTTAAAGCTATTTCAGAACTCAGAAGTGGCCAATAGTTTTCCTCTGACTATAACAAAAGAGCTAATGTACATCTGATCATGACTTACTTATTTTTTTCTAAATCTTTAGGGAATTAAGATCAAATTTGGATTATCTTTTATTTCTACTACCAACATTTTAGCAGATGCAGTTTGAAAACAAATTCAAGCACAGGATTTAAAAATTAAGACTGAAAACACCTTTTCATGAAGCACATGGAAGACAGTCTTCCCTGAGGCCTGCAGGTCTCTGCAAATGAGTGGGGACCCTCCAGGAATCTATTTCTCCTTGCTATGCCTCAGAAGCAATTAATCCCACCCAGGAGGCAAAATTCTGTTTTTGTCTGTTTAATCTTTGCTTTGTCAACATTTATAATCACCTTTTCCCCTGCACATTTTTTTGCACAAATATTATGCAGGCTATTAAACAGATAATTAAATATGCTTTAGGATCAGGTGAAGAAGAAAATAGAATAAGATTGAGTGGAAGGGAGGGGGAGATGCAGAGGAAGGGAGAGAAGGAGAGAGAGACAGAGAGAGAGTAAAGTAAAATATATGGCATGTCTCTTACAAACAAGAATTATGCGTCCATGGTGGAAAGCCATGTTTAACAAACAAAGAAACTATGCAGCATTTTTCCTTTATCAGTTTTAATTATGACTTAGTTGTGCTGAATAGCATATGTGAACCATAACAATCTCCCCTCTGCTTTTTGTTTTTTTTTAAGGACAGGGTCTGGCTATGTAGTGCAGGCTGGGCTTGAACTAGCTGATGTAGCCTGGGCTGCCCTTAAACCCACAGTGGTCTTCCTGGAGTGCTGGGATTTCAGGTAAGTGCCACCTTGCCCAGTTCCCCTCTGCCTTTGCAACTGAATAATTTAAACTCTGCAAAAAGGAAAGAGTAATAGAGAAGTAAAGAGATAGTGTTAGGTGTGAGCTGGAGTTTGCTCAAGCAGATAAGGGAGTGGGTGAGATGAGGGAAGCAAAAAGTTTCTAAAGAACACAACACACAAGAAAGAGAATCAAGCAGTGATGTTTCATAAAAGACAGAGCACTAGGGAATTGTTGATCAGTGCCAAAGGAAGTTTCTGGATAGTTTGATATTTACTTATTAACTTACTCATCAATCATGTATTGACTCCATAGTATGTTTGGGATTATTTTAGATATTGAGGTTTCTCCAAAGAAAAAGGCTGTCTTGACTTTAAAGAATGAACTATATATAAAGAGGAGAAAGACATGCTCATAAAGACATTCAATAAAGGCTCAGTGTTACAGCAACAGAAATATTTCTAGGGGCATAGAGAATACACAAGAGTGATGAGTGTGGTGCTGGTGGAACTGAGTATCAGAATCTTTATAAAGTGGTCCTCAGGTTAAACTTCAGGCATTTTTTTTTTAGCAAAAGCTAAAAGTTCCTTGAGGTTAGACATAGATTTTGAAGGAGCTAGTAAAGATTTTGACAATGTTAGAGAAAATAATCATAATTTAAAAATAGCTACCCTTCATCAAAGGCTTTATGTGTTGGTCTCTTTATATATACTATCTTTATCCTCAAAATAATCTTCAGGGATTGATAACCATTAAGGAATTATCACTACCCTTAATGGAGGATGCTGAGGAGCAGAGTATTTGAAGAATTATGTGCTGTATACAGTGACTGAATCAAAAGAAGTTTTACTGGTGTGTTTTCCATTTTGCCTTGTTGCCTAAATGTCAGAACATACGTGTATTACTAGCTACTTTAAAATGTGTCCTACATATGGTGTTGATTACTTAATGGTTAAATTTCAATTATTTGAATGGAGAGTTGTCTGTAGTTGACAGTCCCTGATTTTAGGGGACAAACTCAGAGAAAGCATGTAGGCTATGTTGTGTTCAACATCAGCTTTTATTGTAAATGTCTCCACAGACGTATACTTAGCAGGGTGCAGTATTTGTTTTGATATGTTTTTAACTCAGTGTACAAACTAAAAGCATTCTATTTAGAGCCTGCTGTGATAAATCAATCTTATCAACATGATTTTTGAAATATAACTATCTCCTATCTACATTTTCTCATGTTGCTGGGAATAGGCTTCTATTGGTCCCTGTTGGGTAGAGTGACCACGCATCATAGTTGTGCATTAGTGCATAAGTGTGCTTCCTACTTGCTGGCCCCTTGTAAACATCTTGTTAACCTCTGCACCTTGGGCATGGACCACATTCTACATTTCTCAGTGTAAAAGCTTTCAGGTGTTGCCGCTGACTGGTCACACAACCAGAATGCAGACTTGCACCGCACGGAGAAAACATCCTTGTGGCTCAGAACTGCCTTGGTCCTAAGTAATAAATTAAATGGTTTATCAGAAAACAATTATTTGGTACCTCCAATGCACAGATGCTGAAAAACATAAGATACGTATGTGAAGGAGTACCATCTCCACCTTCTAGGCCCCGTATTCTATATGTAGACACCCCTGCCCTGTATGTGGAGTGAGAAGGGAGGAGAGGAAAAAAATTACTACTTTTATTCTTATTTACATTTTTCACAAGTTATAGTGAGGACTGTTATGATTTTTAAAAGTTACTTAATCATAGAATACACTGTAGTGGGAAGAGAAATGCTTCCCAAGTGTTAACACAAAATTAAATGTCATATGAGAGCATCTTTCTCCAAGACTTTTCATTTTATTTTATAACAAATGAAGTTCTGGGGCTGGAGATTTAGCTTAGCGGCATAAGCACCTGCCTTGCAAGCAGGCAGTCGTGAGTTCGATCCCCGGTACCGATAAAAAGGAAAAAGACAAAAAAAAAAAAAATGAAGTTCCATCAGTGATTATTTTGGGGAGCATGAGAGATACTGTTACATTTGCTTTTAAAATGATAGTTTAGATTCAGACTAATTGGCAGTTGGTAAGTGCAGAGGCAGGAAGAATATTAGAAAGTTGTATCAGCTGGAAAAGTTGAGACTGAAAGAAATGGGGTGGCTCTGCGAAAGTAGAATGAGTTAGTAATAAATGGTTTGTGGGGAGCAAAGAAAAGAGAAGCCACAGATGACTTCCGGTCTTCTGGTTTTGGGTGTTGACCCCATTTACGGAATTGAGAACACCAGAGGAGATTTCATAGCTTGAAGTGAGACTATTGCCCCCTTAAAGGACCGAGGTCTTAGATCAGCATATTGGGAAATGTTAATGGTAGGAAACTGATTCAGTCCTATGAGGGCCTGAAACTTCCACTACTTTTTATGTTTTTTCATATTTTTTCTGGTGTGGAACCTAGGAAGAGAAAGACCTGGTGTCTGGAAAATTTGACCTATAAACACTGATTGAGTCCAGGAATGGAAATAACAAATTAAGGGTGACAGTGTGAATAAATGTTTAGCTGAAATTCAGGTCTGAGAATTTTTGGAGAAACTCTGAGAAATTTTCTTAAAGCTAAAAAATTTCCAATTACATTTTCATTAAGCAAGATAAATACAATTCCTTTGCTATAAAGAATTCTTGTCCATTAAGCATGCACCTGGCTTTTTATTCACTTAGCTCTATGGAATAAGATGAAAGCAGAGTCTGGGGCTGGCTTCACCTGGTGAAATTAAGATAAAGGATCAAATATCTTTTGAAGTACAAATGGAATATTCATTTTTTGACTCATGCTCTGTGCAAGTTCATTATGTTTTAGAAAATGTTCATAAACTCATCAGACTAAAAACAATCCAAGCTTGATTCTGTTCTGTGTATCCTTTTCCTTTTCCTTTTTTTCACCTTAAAACTATGAAAACATTGACTTTGCCCCTAACAATTCAATTTTCTACTTATCTTCATAGGTTAAGGGTAGAATCTCAGGAAATTCATTAACATACTAAGACATAATCAGGAAAAGACACGACATAGGGGTCTATAACACCAATTATCTGTGTTCAGATACTGTGTCCCCATTCTTGCCAATCCCCTTTATATTGATTACATGCATTTTCTTCTGCTGCATAACAAACTACTTCTAAGCCTGGTGGCTAAAAAAATGTTATTATCTCAGAGGAGAGGCCTCAGTACCTCATAATGTGAACATCTTTTTAGGGTTATTGAAGTGTCCTTGTGACATTATATCTAGCTTTCTTCAAATTAAATGATCTCAGAAAACAAGACATAAGCCTTGATGTCCCTTATGACCTATCTTGAAAACCACACTCTATTATTTATGTAATATCCTGTTGTTTACACAACTCTGCTCTATGCAGTGTGGGGACCACATCAGGGAGTAAGGAGAAGGCAGTAGAGGCTGTCATGAATTGTGGCTTTCCTGTTAATGAAAACTATTTTTAAATATGTATTCTTCTGGACAACTGAGATTATAAATTCCATTAAAATTATCATTGTCATCCACTATTTCCACTAAGAAAGCTTCTAGAGATATGCTAAGGAGATTCACAGTCACTAATGAGACACAGGAATGTCTGAAAATATAGATATTGTGAATCAGCATCACTTTGGCCATGAAGAGCAATAGTTTATGATTTGTGCTTCCATTTTTAATATAACCAGTAGCCTCTAAATTGAGGATCTTAGGTATCCTTGCGAGTCAGGTTTAATGGATGGTAGCACCAGGTAAAGTCAGGGTTCAGCAAAATAGTTAATGGATATATTTTCAGCAGATGGAACTTGGAAAGGGACCAGCTGTACTTAGTCAAGAATTTCTCCCCATGAGGATTAAGACTTTGTTTCATAGAAAACAATTACTTCATCTCTTCCTATTTCCTAAATTCTATAAAAAGCTGCTCTATGAAAAGTGTAAGTATGTATAAGGCATCTCATCACCCTTTAAAAAGTCTTCCTTGTTTCCTTTCTTGCCTTTCTTGGCTTCCAAAAATGCCACAGCTTCTTTGAATATGATTAAATTCTAACACCACATGTGCCAACTTGTAAACTTACAATTAACGTAGCTTGTGAACTTAAGAAGATGCCTTCTAAATGTCCCATTTTAAGTGAAAAAGAGCATGAAGTACATAAGGGAAACTCAAAATAAGTTATGGTGTAGGTCAGGGTTGGACCTCATTTCATAGACTCTTTTTAGCAGCTCTCTTAAGCTGCCTGAAAGTGAGTTACTATATTCTGTAAACACAAGGGACACTGCCAGGAACTGGGGACGTATATGGAGATATTTCAAACAGGGTGGATTCCATCCTTCTGGATCCAGAGAAAGAAATTATCATGAAACTATATGGGGAGGAATGTTTATAGGAGACATTGTGAGTCTATGTCGCCTGGAGGATTAAAAAGTATACTTTTGAAATTAAAAAGGGATCCTGAGTACAGTCCTATTTTAGCTTTCTGATCCATCAAAGAATGTAAGTGCTAGTTATATTATATAGAGCAGTTTGATTTCACCACCTGAGGCTAAATTAAGAAAAAGAGGAAATATGAAATGGGTTATCTGGAGGGATAACAGGATTAACTAACACTCCAGTGGTTCTTCTTGAATTGACTCTGAAAAGTAAAGGTTCAATTAAATACATCTGAACTTCAGATTATTCCACAAAAATTCATAGCTGCTGTTATATTTTTATTGATAAAATAATGTAAATATGCCTCTTAAATTCTAGTGGGAAACTTGTTCCTTCTTTCTTTGAAGGGTTTCCTGCCCATCGTGCAGGTAGGATTTTTGTATAACCCTCATAAAATATTAGCTTAGCAATTCTTAGAACATATTGATAAAGTAGAAGAGGAGTAAGCAGAAGCACCTGCTTCTGTCCCTGAAGGTAATTTAATCAAGGTCAGATGTGAGGGCAGAACTTGGAAGTGTATTTAATAAACACCCTTGATGCACCATCAGGGGTCCAATTTTCTCTATAACG